TATACAGAACGTCAAATAGAATAAGGAAACAATTTTAAAGCATCAGATATAAAATCTCCTACCCGTATTTAGCATAAAAGTTTCATTTTGTAAAGCAATTTAAAAACCAGAGCTAACTACACATACCACGGTGTTGATGTGCCGATTGATCAGAGATTTCTCGTTCTGGAAAACGTGTCTTAATGGTGGCAATTTATTCTTTCGAGAGCTACCTGAGCTTTTATAGGATACAGAATCCCTTCCTTTTTAACATCGAAAATCGAAATGAAAGAAAATTGTTGGAATTTGAGAACTCTCAGCCGCTGGGAAAATCAATTTATTTTACATGGTTAAGGTATTTTAACATTTTTTGTGAAATGTTTGATTTCTACGAAAGATATTTTTTCAAGATAAATCCTGTATTTGTAATACGTTTATATATCATGAGGACAGATATCTACAACAGTTTTCTGCCCTTGATTTTATTATGAAAAATTCTTATAGGATTATGCTCACTTATAAATATTTGGTCCTTGTGGGTTTACCGAAAAAAAAACTTATGTGTTTTAAAAAACAATGATAAATACATTTCTGTATTTATTATTGTTTTTTTTTAACTTAAATATTAAGATAAATGAATTTATGAATTCAATATACTATGTATGGTATTAAGTATTAAGCTTAATATGAGGTTTTCAATGTGCAAATGAGTAAGTAAAATAAAGAAATGTCAGAAAACATGTATGAATTTAATAATTGTAGGTAGTTTCGGCTGTAAACTATGAATTTTAAAATTATTTTCTAAAATGTCTGTTAAATAAATTTTTAAGTTAAATATACAACATTTAAATATAAAAAAATACAATTAAATCTAACATTAATCTAATGATATTGCATCCTTAAAATCTAATAGTATTACATTTTAATCTAATAATTCCTTTTGAATATAATAATATTGCATTTAAATCAAATAGTGATACATTTAAATCTAATAACATTAGATTAAAATATAATAATATTACATTTAAAACTAATATTATATTTAAATCTAATATTGCATTTGATTCTAATAATATTGAATCAAAATTTGATGATATTTTATTTAAATAGTGCTTAATAGTTGTTTCAACAAGAACCCATCAGTAAGTTTCAGTGAAATATATTTTTAAAAAATAAAAAAAATAGTTAGGTTTTATTAAGGAAACTTACAGCAATTTTGATATAGTTGATACAATATCAACAGTAAGCTGCGATACTTCATAATTATTTTGCATTTATATTGGTTTATTTTTGTACCTAGTGAAAATGATATGCAGTTTGCTCTAACATGTCGACTTTAAATACATGGTAATTATCGTTAAAGCGAGTCTTCTAAAAACAGTAAAGAAAACCACTTGTTTGTTAGAATAACTTGAAGTTAGAGCTAAAATTCCCGACAGAAGAAAAAAAGGCATAGTAAAAAAATGTTAAAAATGTTACTGATAGACGATAATTAACTTAATACTACAAGCAAGATAAAAAGTTGAATAAATGACAAAGCCGCAAAGATGAATTTTCGTTTTTCCCCGGAAAAAATTCTGGCAAGACTACCGTGCTGTATGGTTACGACATTTCTGATGATTTCTGATGATTTCTGAATAAAAATCATAATTTTGATTCATAAAACCAAAATTTATGGTACTTAAACCAATTAATTTGGTAATTCTTCCGTTCATATGATAACGGTTTATTGGAAAGGTTTTCAACATTATAGTTCTTATAACCAAATACAAAACTGAAAAGTAAATTTAATCGAATAAATGTTTCTTATACCATGCTAAGGTATCATGATAAAAGTACCAAATTTTACGACAGCTACCAAGTTTCATCCTATATTGAAAAAGCATGTTTTTTTGTTATTTTCACCAAAATTTTTATTACTGCACTTCGATAAAAATTACGGAGTTTTTTGGTGCCTCCAGAGAGCCAGAAAAGCGGTGAATTTTACATATTCTGATAAATATGATCATACTTTTTCTCTAAGCGTAGAAGCGTTATAATTTTCCAACAAATTGAACACCAAGATTCATGTAATCATAATTTTATAATTATCTCACAACTATTGTTCTCCAATTACTATTTTATTATTTTTATCTCTTAACTATTATCTCAAACCTTTTATTTTCACAGGAAATAGTCATCTTATTTTATCTAAATTCTGGCTGAGGGATCAGTTGAATAATCTTTGATCAGTTGTCCAAATTCAAACTTAACTAACTTAAAGGTCATAAAGCAGGCATTGTACGACGAATCCATAATGTAAATCCTTGCTGTTGGGTCTGCTAAGTAGTGTTTTGTTCAGTGGCTCAATCGCAAACTTGAAAACGAGTTCATTATATCTATATTATATACTCCCATTAGTTTTAGAGCATGGTGTCTCTCAATTTTATATTTGTGTCAGAAAAGACACATATACAGCATTTATTAATAAAGTCTCAAAACTATTCTACTTTTATTGTCGATATTTTTGTGTCTGATTTTGATGTAATGACATTAAAAAATGATTGCATTGTTCTTTCATTACTTTTGTTAAAATTCAAATGTCACTGGAGCTGTAGCCATATAATTAACTAGTACAGCCCCCTTTATCGTAAAATTAGAACTATTGTTTTGATATGACATCACTTTCCTTTTCTTTCCATTTGAACAAAATTCAAGTACTTTGGATTTTGTTTTCACAGCCACGAATTACAGGCAACCCAGTTTTTAATTATAACCACTCTGTATGCTACTTAATAAAAATGAAAGAATAATTTAACTTTATATGCATCATATTTTATATCTTCATAAACTTTGTTATGTTTTGAATTCTTTTTAACAACAAATACCCAAGGCTTGCTGGAGGCTGCTTATTTTTAGCTCTCGGGCGAATAATTCAGCATTTCTAACAAAAAATAAACTAGAAAGATTTAAGTTGGATTTGAAAATAATTTAAAAGATACACGAAACTAGTGAAGGATAAGAAACAGAAAAAAGAAATACGTAAAGAAATGAATTTTCCGGTAAAGTTCTTTTTTTAGACTACATTCATTAGGATTAAAGTGAAGCTGAAATGAAAAGAAAAAACATCAGCGTACGAAACTCAAAACTATAATAATCTTAGAGATCTCACGGTATAACACTAAATTCGAAATATAATACTTTTCTAAATATTCAAGTACATATCCAGAAGAAAGTAACATTTTTATTAGATAATTTAAAAACAAATTATTCTTAAAATCGAAATAATAATTTAGTTTTATCTTAATGCGCATAGCTACATCAAATTTAATGTTTCATCTTTAGAGAATGTTTGTGTCTTAAAAAATGCAGTTTTATTTATGCATTAAGTAAAATGTAGAATATTTTATTGCCTTTTAATATGTGGTAAGATACATGTTTATGTTTTAATGATAAAATTATATATCTAGTAAGTTTTTTAAAAAAGCGTTAGTTGTCTAAAAATTTTAATTTTAAAAGTCAAATTAATTGAAATGGCTGCATTATCGAACTATTTAAATAAAATGATATAAATGAGAAGAGCATTTGTGGAGGCGAAAAAAAACTAGCTTAGATTCCAATGCTGGTCACTGAAAAAAATTCCTTTCAATAACAGCTTCAACACTTTTATCTGCAAGTGCTTATTTTAAATTATGGAAATACTTTAATAAACACTATTCCGTTTTTGGTAGAATATTGATCTCTTAAAATTTAAATAGAGTGGCAATGCTGCCCTGTAAGAAAATTGGGATCAAATCTCGTTATAAAGTACCGGAACTTTGGGTGATCCATCAAATCAAATTTACCGTTAAATATTATACCGTAACTTTTACAGTATTTATTTAATTAGAGGGATTAAATGATTTTACTGTAATTATTACTACAAAAATTACGGCATATCAGATTTTTTGTTCCGTAGCATGCTCTATTAAAAATACCGGCACCCTGAGTGCCGGTACTTTTTACCGTAATTTGTTCTGGAATTTTTTACATAGTGGTTTTCTGTTAACCACATTGTTTTCGCGTTGTTATCTTGATTACTTTAGTATAGTTACAGTTATTACAGTATTGCAGTTACTTTGTTAAAGTTTTCGAAAACCATTGTTTTTAAATATCATTAAAAGACTAAGTTTCTATTCAAAAGGGAAAACATCAAGTAGAATTTAATGCTATCTTGATGGTGATGTAAGCAAGATCTTTTGTTCAACATCTTTGCAGTTATAAGTTAATAGGATATAATCATAGAGTAAAAAATTCAGTTGTTTAAAAGCTTATAAAAATTCTTTTTAGTGGAAGATCAAAAAAGTAGGCTCAACCTTTAAATCTACAGTCATTACCATCCCAAGAACAGATTCATGATTTGACTGTTTATCAGAAGGAAAAAAAATCAGGATAAATTAATGAAGCCATTTTAAATTGCTTGTAGATGATATAGCTAACAGTCATAACTTTATGGCTAGTTTTGGCATCAAACGGTGAAATTACTATGACAATAAATTTGCAATTTCAGAAAGATTAATGGCCTTCTAAAATAAAATGGATGATGATAAATAGAAAGATGACAATTTTTGAAGGGTTGTTTTATTAGAATTTTCATCGAACTGAGTTATCAGGAGAAATAAGTTAACGGTTACAAAACAGCTGAGAAAATGATAAGATAATTTAACATAATGTTAAGAATTAAATAAATTTAACTGTCTAAGAAATATGCATTGCCCATAATAAAATGATAATACTTTTTTTTACTTCTAAACAAATATTTCGAGAAATTTTCTTTAAGTAATTTTTGTTTAAATTTTGGGGCTTCATAATTTCTCGTTGTTAATTTCTTTAAAAATGGATAAGTCCTTCAAACAGAAAATCGAATTCATTTACTTATAAAACGCAAATTGAATTTAAAAACATCAAAAATTGTTCCTCTAAAAAATTCACACCACAAAAAATTTGTTTAAGGTAGAGTTAGAGAGGCTTAAGAATATTAATTTTTATTCAATCAAACATACCTGGTCTAACGCAGCTCCATCCACACATTCCATCACAAAGGCAACGTTTTTTTGCACTGATACAGTCAGCGTCATTTTTACACTTCCGTAAGCAGTCTCGACCCTTTGCCTCTGCTTCTTCTTTGTGCCTAGGACAGTAGTCCGGACCGTCATCAACGTCAAAGTCCTCCACATCTATTAAAAAAAAGAGAGAATAGGAAAATAAAATTTCCGAGTTCAAACTGCAAAAGATTATGATAATGAGCAATAAGAGAAATATATTTAGAATTAAAGCGTTGACTATTTGTAATAAAAAAAACAAAGCAAAGACAATTAATTTATTTTAACACCTACAAAAGATTTTGCCTATGAACACCAACAAAAAGAAATGTTTACAATTTAGAAATTGAAATACTTCAGATATTAATACATTGTGTCTCTCTCTGGGAATAAAATTCTGGTAAAATTAAGGGACTACATGTTAATAACATTTCTTGAAAGGAAGAAAAACAGAATACTGGTTAATAAAAGCAAAATTTACGATGTTGAAATCATTCACTTGATAATTTTTAGTTTCATATGGTTTACAGAAAATTCCGTTTCTCAAAATTATAGTTCTTATTACTACATATTTAATAAAAAATACAAAACTGAAAAGTAAATTTTACCCAATAAATCGTTTTTATGCTATTTTCTAAAGTATCATGATGAAATGATCAAGTTTTACCACATTTACTAAATTTCAAATTTACCACCTTTACTGCCAAACAGCATGCTAATGAAAACCGTATTTTACTTTTAATTTTACCAATACCATTACTAAAGTGCTTCTTTAAAAGTAGTCGAGCTTGTTGATGCTTCCATAAAGCCAGGAGTACAAAAAAGTATGCAATATTCTGGTAGTTTTGACCAAAAGTTTTTTTTTCTCACTCAGTGCAAGAGCGCAAGGATAATCTATAGCACTATTTATTGGCCCTTTCCTATGGACTCTTTAGCATACCTACATTATAAGCGTAACTTAATTCATGTTAAAATAAACTTCCAGTGCAAGAAATTACTTATTTTGTACTTTTCTTCAAAATATTCAATGTTTACTAAATTATGAATTGCAGTGAAATGTTAATAGTGTTTAATTTGTCACTAACAAATTTTTAAAATTGTGTTAAATCCGTGTCATGAAGTTACATTAATAATGGTTGCATACATTGGTCTAACTTGTAATAACCGACTGTTTTCTGCCTTCATTGGGTCAACCTGAATTGAACCGGGTGAACTGTTGAACCGTGGAGATAATATCAAGGCTAATTTTTAGCAAACATTTCCAGTTGTACTATAAAATACCATTGTATCAGATTTGTTGCAAATAATTACTAAATTTAAGTACCAGCTCTGAGCAAAGAATTATGATCAAAAGTATCAGAATATGGTGAAACTTACATTGTTTCTGGCTCTATGGGGATATCAAAACCATGGATAATTTTTATCGAAGGGCTTTGGTAATGATTTAGGTAAACTTAACTAGAAAACACGGTTTTACAATAGGTGACAAAAAGTTTCTGAAATTTGGAAAACTTTATTCATTTTATCATGTGACCTTAAAGCTTGACATAAAAACCATTTCATTGGTTAAATTTACCTTTTAATTTTGTACTTTTTACTAATTTACTTTAATTTTTGTTACCAGAATTATGGATTTTTTTATTTAGAAAAGTCATTGCACTGTTAGAAATTTCTCGGAAAAAATTGTTAAATAACAATTTATTGAATTGTTATTTTACCATATTTTATCAAAACAGTCAAATAACCGTAAATAAAATGGTAATCAAACAATTAAGTTTGAGAAAAACTGTTTATTAACTGGTTTCGCACAATACAGTTAAACAACCAGAATTTTATCGTACCAACTAGAACCACCTGATGAAGCTATTTAGTTCTTTGCAACTGGCAGCATATCATAGCCGAGCGTGCTTATCTGTCAATCTCATGACCGGTAGAACTGGAGTTCAAGTCCTAGTGTTGACACTACAATATTCCCTTCAACACATGAAGTATTTTCAGTGTCCGGCACTCTCCGATGCCCATTGCCTTTCGAAAAGAAGAGCTCGTATGTCTAATTAAATAAATATTTTCCCCTTCAGGTTTTGAATAATGCCAGTAGTAAATGTTTAAAGAACCGTACAAGTTTGTATTCATGATTTTATAACGAAACTTTTTGTAAATGTTTTCCAAACCATAAAGGGAAAAAATGTTCTTTAACGTAAACTTTACGGTTAATTGGACGGTTTTACCATAATTTTAGAATGAAAATTTTAACAGTGTATACCATACAGTACAGTAATTTTACCAGAATCGATTTCTCCGTGCTTTGACAGAGACTTTTCTTTCATCCAATCAGTATTTAAGACTAAATCAAAGTAAAATAAATATATTTATGTGAAGATTAAAAAAAAATTAAAATATATTTAATTTAGAAGATAAATATGAAAAAAATCAATAAGATAATCATTATTATTTTTAAAAAGAAAATCTTGCAATTATGTGACTCTTATTAAGACCGAGAACTATGTACTAATATTTTTATAGGTTGTACCAATTTTTAAATCACAAATATATACGGTAACGGTACTATGTTTGATAGATAAATTAATCAATAAACATTGAAATACATGTTTCAAACTAATTTTTTATACCATCTTTAATTTATTATTTTAACAAAAAAAAACTTAACTGTAAAGAAATATCTAAGTATTTAAAGTGCTGCTTATAACGTAGAAAATTGTAGTGGTAATTTTGAAGATAATTTGAAGGCCATTAAAAAACCGTAAGAATATCGTGTTATTCGTAAATTAATTAACCGAGAGCGCTTTTTTAAATGACCTGAAAAATATAAGAAAATTAATAGCAAAAAATATTTTGAGAGTGAAAATATAAACTTGATCCCCACACGTGAAGTAAAAATGCAACATGACTTTACACTTAAGGATTTTGGCACTGGCGCAAGATGGTGAAACTAGAGCCATGTTTTATTAATTCTATCGCTTAAAGTTGATAAACAAAATTAATGAAGGATACGGTGCGAGAAAGGAAAATGCAATTTGAAGTTTGAAGAGGAGAGAATTATTTTTCAAGTGCTCTCGTCAAATATTCTCATAAAATATTTCACGAAGCGAATTTAATTAAATCTCTCATTTTAATTACTGTTCGGAATCTTACCTTTGTTTAAAAGTTATTCTTAATTAATTTTATTTCTGCACCCTTGATACCATACTTTGCGTAGATTAGAACTCCCATATTTGTATTTTTTTAACTGTCAAAAAATTAATTTGCAATATTATTAACAATTTTGTAAACAAAATTTCTACTAGATTTTTTATAAATTTGAAGTTTTATGAAAGAAATTAATGCTTAACCTCATGATTATACTTTTACGTGGGTTAATGTCATTTTATCGAGAATAATAACTTGCCGTACGTAAAGGATAAATTTCTTCTTTAAAGGATATAAAACTAAGTGACAAGTCAAAAAGTACGGAGAAAAAGTCAAATGCAAATATCATCGTTCATTCCACGGTCTTGTCCTGTATTTAATGCATGTAAGCATCTGATTAAAAATTAGTAGACTTTTTTAAAGTATGATTTTTAGTATTTAGCTTTATAGTATATATTTCCAAAACGCGTAGATGAGAAAGGCGTACAATAGCAAGTGTTATTGCACGTCTTTCACACGCATGTCGAAAATGCATGTACGTTGCTAAGTGTTGCAAACTTAGATAGAGCAACATTTTGGTGGCAAGTAAAAATAACAGGATATATATATATATATATATANACATAAATATAAAAATTAAATTTTATAACTAAAATAAAAGATTTTTTTTGCAGGGAAAAGGTACAAATCTGTGTTCTTCGTTGAATTTTATTAATTTCTGTGTTTCCACTATTACATAATTCGTCTATGCATTATTTTAATCCATTGAAATGGAAATGTGACCTATATAAGTGTTATTTATAATGAGAAGAGAAATTAAAAATTATTCACTATCCTTATGTGATCTTGTGTTAAAAAATTATAGAAGGAAAAGCAATAAAAGTATCAACCTGGATTATTTTTCTCACATAATAAGGCTTAGTTTTTATTAATGAAAAAGAATTGAAATCATTTAATTTTTGTTATAGAGAAAACCATTTCCTTTAAATGGGAGTATAAAATTTATTCTGAGAATGATTTGAATTTTATTCGCTTCGAGTACTTCTTTAATTATAATAAATCAAATATACGCTTAAAAAATGTTTAAAAATAAAATTTTTCTACGAATTCTTCGGTTTTTTAATTAAATATTTTGCTACCAACAGTTATGAAAGCAACTTTGTGTTAATAATAAAGTTTCCGACAGTACCTTTCTTTTTTATTTAAAAAAATAAAAAAACAAAAAAAACGCTTTTTCTAAGATAACGAAGAGAATAAAATTTTGATTCGACAGTACTTTTTATATTTTATGTTTATCTTTGCACACTTTGAAATTTTTTTTTAAAAATATAATCTTTTTTATTTTCAAATATAGTGTATGAAGAAATAGATGAAAAATATGCATTCATGGGAAAGAATATTTCCTCATGTACAGAGAAATTTAGGCTGAATTTTTAGGCCCTGAAACATAAAAGGATAATTACGCTTCAGGTTTTTTACTTAGTCTACTAAAAAAAAAATGATCATTTATTTTTTAATTAAAAAAGAAATTTAAATTAACCTTTTTAAAGTATCAAATGTGTCTTTAGGGCAGTGAAAATATAGGCCATTTTTTAGAAAAAAAAGTTTCGAATGCTGTGACGCTAAAAATACTGTGGCATTTACGTATTAGCTAACTAATCTATTAAACCCTTAATAGTCGCTTTATTTCGAAGAAACGGTAGTAAAAATACCTCATTTTTATTTTAAAAAAAAATTAAATAAAGTTTATGCGCAATATATACATTCATTTTTAAATTTTGGGTAACCAGTGCATAATATATCATTTATATATTATATTTTATGAATTATATATTATATTTTATGAAAATTTAATATTATATATTTTATTATATGAATGTTTAAATCTAGTTTAAAATAAACTTTATATAAATACATTATAAGTTGTCTGGTACAGCTATCTGGTACAAAGAGAGAGAGAAATAAACATGATTCTATAGACTTAAAAAATCAGATAGTTTTAGACATTTTGGAGCACTGCTTTTAAATACTCCAACCTGAAAATATCACGGGCACGAGAAATATAGGGCGAAATGTCACTCCGTCCGTCATTTTAACAGGAGTGAGAAGGATGGGAATAAATAAAAGAGTAAAAGAAATCTGAGGAAAATGAACTTTTTCTCTGATATATTCTACTTAACAAATAATAGATATAAATAGGAAGAAATATTTCATATTCTGAGTTAGACAGAGATATTTAAAAAAAAACAATATTGCAGCAGACTTTTTTTCATAAGTTCTAAAATAAGATTTTTTGTAAAATTATCCTAGAATTTGGAGTTTAACATTGTTGAATTTTAAAGATTAATACTTGTAAATATTTTAACAAAAAAATAAGAACATAACTTATACCAAAAACTGCATTTTAAAAATGGTTTTCTCATGCTTTGGTAGTATTGTATAAAAGCACTGAATTCGGAACAGCATAATCATGGGTCTATTTGGAAATTGATTTTTTCACTCCTCAGAATTAACAATTACCAAACTTCCAGTTTTCCTTAGGTCAACGACAAGTCTTCAGTAAAATTAAAAACCAAACTTTCAATTCCGTGATAAGTAGATTACTGGATTATCTGATAACTAGATTTTTATATATTACCATGCAATTTTAACAGTTTGAAAGGTGAATCTCAAATGCGTTTATGAAATGTATAAGTCTGGGCTATAATTTATCAATATATTTAATAAAATATTAAATAAAATCATATTTAATAAAATGCTAATAATCTTATTAAAAAGTTTTTCAATAAACGGGGGGAAAAATGGAACTCCAGGATAAAATGAGTTTTTCAAATCCCACTTTCGATATGTATGCCATTTCTTTAATTTGTATCTGATGTTGTTTTCTATGTCGAATATTGTATGTAGAGTGACAGATACATACGCGATCAAGATGTATTGCTTTTTTTAGTGCCTTATAATATAATAATTGGATACTTTATCTTTTTTAATTTCCTCTTTTTTTATTTGATATTCTTTAATTTTTAATTTTTTTAATTTCACTTGGAGATGCTAACGTGACAATTTGTTAAAAAGGGCACTTTTTAATAAACTGCATAAAAAATAGTAAAGCATAAAAAAAAGTGATTTAGTGAAACATTAGAGATAATTATTGATGTAAGAAAACACCAAGAATAGTTCTTGGTGCAGTGAAACACCAAGAATCTTCGTGTATACTACTTACGGTACAAAGTAGTTGCCGTCTTTTTTTATGATAAGTTGCACTAACATACAACATACAAAATGTTACATAACAACAAGGTATCATACACATAAAGTCACTAAGGATATTTTCGCAGTAAAAACAGTGAGATTAAGATGCATGCAGGCATGAATTCTTAAAATAAAATTAGTTTTTAAACTTAACATAACGGATAGTTCAGAGAGAGAATATTAAATTAATTCGAATTAGGCTTAAAAGAACAGAAAAAGGATCTAAATTAAATATCATAAAATTATTTAGTACAATTATCAGATATTTAAAAATTAAAATATGAATTAATCTTACTGCACTACCATGTTTCCAAGGATGTATAGCAGCGTGCAAGACAACAACAAATTTACTTCTTCTCGTTCTCGATAGTAAACAAATCTACATACGATATCTTGAGTATGCCAAAATTGCTGTTTTCGGAATCAAACATAATTTATGCATAACATGAATGTACATAAGCGTTGTGTAAGAATTTTATTCTATTTTTGTATAGATTTAGAATTAATACGCCTTTCAAAATGTATGCAAACACTCGATTTAGTGTAAATCGTAATAATAAACCGTAATAAAAGGTTCCTTCAGACATTATTTTTAAGTTTTTCATCGCCATTATTGGAGAAATATTACACTACATGTTTTAGTTTTGTGGTGTAACTACTACAGTTATTTAATTTTCCTTCACTTGTATGTGAGACATGTTCAATTCAATTCTATCAAGTAGTACCTTTTGACATAAGACATTGTCATTAGCCTCCGTCTACATTGGTGACCAGGACGCGATCTGAACACACCTACTTCATCAGAAATTCCCACATCAATATGAGCACGTGGAAGGGTTCACAGTGAACCATCCATCGAATTAGGTGTGTTCAAATCGAAGCTGGCGTTTCTATTGAGTTTGGGGTGTTCAAATCACTTCCGGGTCACCAATGTGGGGATATGCTACAGACTATGTCAACCGTCATCTACTAAAAGGAACCACGAGATACAATCGAGTTAACTTGTCTTATATACTAGCGAACTGGAATTGAACAATTATAGTGGTAGTTACGCTACATTACTCCGGAATTGAATAATTGTAGAGGTAGTTACGCCACATTTTATCACTAGGAAATGGTTGAAAATTAGAGTAATTTAATACTGATTTTTATTTTGCGTAGTTTGCAAACAGAAATTCACAACAGTCAAAAATTAATTACTATTATCGTAATTACGTTGCATTTTTGCTAGATATTTTTCGAATTCCATATTTTGTTTGAAGGACTTTTCCAGAAATTAATAAAAGAGAAGTCATGAAGCAAGATATTTTTCAGTAAGTCAAAGATAATTGCATGGGGATATTTTTAATGTTTATTTATATTTGCATCGCATTTGTTTAATAATTTAAAAGTTTGAACCGAATTTATCTGTAATCTTTTATTTGTTTACTTTAAAGCAAAAACAACATTTATGATACGAATATAATTCATGATATTTTGAAAAGCATATCTTGAAATTAAATAATGCTACATTCATTATCCTATTATCTCATGTATGTAATTTCATTCGCATTTAATGTAAGAAATTTAATTTTATATATTTTAACCCAAATATAAAGAGGCAACTTTTTTTCCGACATATTTTTTTAAGCCTTTGTGTTGATTATCCGTAATCTGAAGAAAATAGTAAAAGAATGACGTAGAAACGCGAAGCTACTTAAATTAAAAATACTAAAACTCTATTTCTTTTACTTATACTTTTATGTAATTATGCTTAAAGGATAATGTATTTCAACGCTAAAAAGTATTAGCTTGATTTTTTTTCTTGAAAAAATTAGCTGATTTTCAAAAGTGTAAAATTCCATGAAAGATACTAAATATATTAAAATAATACTGAACGTTTTTAAAAAAATGATTTGAGGGATTAAGTCAAACTTTAATGAACAGAAGATTGAATTTCCAATCAAAGATAGAATACTGCGATTGAAATATTTTTCTTAGAGAAGGTACAAGATTTCTAAATGTACGGAGCACAGTGGACAATCCATAAAAGTAACATGATCTGTGGAAAATACTGTTAATGTAAAAGATCAAACAACGAGTGTGAATTAAATTGCCTTTCATTAAGTTAAGGATAATGTCGTGCATTACTCCTAGTTTAATTACAATACATTAGGATAATATTCTTACGTATCAAAGATATTCCCTTGCACTTAGTCAATTAGCTCTTGCAACCAAATCTTTCACCCATTTCCGATATTTACTAACAAACAGTCTGTAGAATGGATTTAATAGCATATGACTAATCTTGAAACTTATAGTTTGGTTCTTTTCAATATACCGAAACTTCCAATCTAATTTCAGTTGAATCTAATCATTAACACGTTTTAATCATACGAATAGACATTAGATTAACTTTAGCACATTAAGGATAGTGTGACAAAGTTATACGATTATTAATTAGCTGCTATTATTTGTAAATGGTATAAGGAACGTAATATAATTTTAAATGATAATTTGATTTTTTGGGTTAGTTCCAATGTTTTAAAATTTTTCAAGAATTGCAGCTTCGATAATTGTGTTCGGTTTCCTTTTTTTCCTCAATGGCTTGACAAGATAGTGTGAGACTTATTGGCTTTTCTTAGAATTCTATTCATAGCTGTCCCTATCTTTCGCCTTGACTATTCATCCGGTTACTTTGAGGACGACTCAAGTCTCTTTCCAAAGTTACTCAAAGTTGCTCTCGAGTTACTCAAAGTTACTCCTGAGTTACACAAAGTTACTCTTGAGTTACTCAAACTTACTGTTGAGTTACTCAAAGTTACTGTTGAGTTACTCAAAGCTACTCTTGAGTTACTCAAAGCTACTTTTGAGTTACTCAAAGTTACTCTTGAGTTACTCAAGTCTCCTACCAATTAGTCTTCTCATCTGAGCCCTGGACAACTTTCTTTTAGAGTGTCGCTGTTGGCATGGCTACGGAAACTTTTTTCGTGATGCTGGCATCAGGCATGCTGATAATAAGATCAGCCGATTTTTACCTTTGGATATGGATGAAATTTATAATATCCGAGTCTTCACAGATTTTGTGTCGTTCGCTATTTGTCCTTTTTCTCCAGATACCATCACCTTGATTCATCCCCTACAGATTCATCCTCCCAAGAACTGCTAGTATTTCTTTACCTTCTTTAGCCACTCTCCAAGTTTCAGTTGCATGAGTTAAAATAGCTCAGATTAAACATAAATAGTAAGATAAGTTGACTTTTTTTTAAAACCTGTCTTTGAAAATTTATTTGCCCGAAAGAGCATTACGGATTTTCGCTCTTGTATTGTTTTCTGAGTTTTTTCAGAGTCTAAGCATGAAAAATGTTTAATTTGTTTTGTAAACTGTTTAATACTATATTTGTCTATTGCAAAGAAAAGATTATGTTTCGTTTAAAATTGTTAAATGAATTAAATCGAAAAGTTTTTTAAAAACGAGTTTTTTCTTCATTTGAGAAATACACTAGAGGATAACTATAAGAGGATAATAAAATGTCTAGACGATAAAACAATTATTTTTTAATTGTAAAGTATATTTCTGTAGATATATTCCTTTTTTAAAATTTTGTTATAGTTATATCAGAAAAAAGAAACGAGGTAAGATAAAAAGTAATTTGAACGAGATTTAATAGTTATAATTACTTATATTTAACATTTCCAAATTGTTTTAAGCTGCATGCTAAGTAAACTTTATAATGCAAAAATAAAACAAAAGAACTTTTGTTGTTAAAAAATAGTAAAAAATATGCATGTACATTGTACTTTTTTGATCATAAACAAAGTAAAGAAATCCTAAAATCAATTTTAAAAAAAAAACAGGA